GGCCCCTTCGCGGCACTCTGTGCCTCCGCCCGCACCCGACTGCCCGTTGTTTCCGCCGCCTCGACGATCTCTTTCGTCGTCGCTTTGGCCCGGCCCCGGACCTCCCTGACTGGCACCGCCTGCTCCGCCAGGGCGTGCCGATCTTTGAGTTAGACATGGATCAGATAGGTGCTGCTTTGCATGCTTTGTATTCTAACGCTGCTAGTGTTGCTGGATCTTATTACCCTGTGTTCTCTAGTTTAGGTGTTGCACCGCTGTGTAGCCTAGCCTCCCCTGCTGCGTCAGGCGTAGGACTGCCTAGATTGTCTAGCCTCGTCCCTGCACCGGCTCCGTTCCCTGTCCCCGCCACTGCGGCGTTGTCCTTCACTCTCAACTCCGGTGCTTCTGCCTGCTTCTTCCGCGACCGTTCTGCGCTCACGCCGCTTGCTGCGCCAGCTGTCGTCTCCCTCGCTGACCCCTCTACGGGTCCTGTCGTCGCTCGCAGTTCTACGTCCCTTCCCTGCCCGGCAGTTCCCTCGGGCTCCCTTACAGGCCTCCACGTTCCCTCATTCTCGAGGAACCTGGTTGGTGTCGGCTGTCTTCAGGACCTCGGCGTCACCACCACGTTCCCCGGGCACGAGCGGTTCGCTGTCTGTTCTGAGGCTGTCTCAGGTTCCCCCCTTGCGATGTTCCCCCGGGACCCAGTGTCCGGTCTGTTTACCCTAGACACCGCTTCCCCTCCGGTTGGTACGTCCTCCCTGGTTGCTGCAGCCTGCTCGTGTCGTTCCCTCACTCAACCGTCCCTCCTCTGGCACCACCGCTTAGGTCACCCTGCCCTCCCTCGTCTGCGTCACATGTCCCAGCACGGTCTTGTCTTAGGTCTCCCTGCGTCGCTCCCCGCCCTTCCTCCCTCAACTGCGCCACCGTGCACGCCTTGCGTCGAGGGTCGGCTCCGCCGTTCTCCTCACTCCTCCTCGCTGCGCCCTGCTACTGGCCCCCTTCAGACCCTGCACCAGGACGTTTGGGGCCCTGCCCCCGTCCCCGGACCGCGTGGTGAGCGCTACTTCCTTGTGCTCGTTGACGACTACACGCGCTACACCACGGTTTTTCCCCTGGAGTGGAAGGCCGACGTGCCCGACGTTCTTCTCCCGTGGGTTGTGGCTGCGCGTCTCCACCGGGGTCTTCCCGTGTTGTGTCTCCACTCTGACCCTGGCGGCGAGTTTGCCTCTGGTCGGCTTGGACAGTTCTGTCGTGCGGAGGGCATCACACAGTCGTACACCTTGCCGGACTCGCCACAGCAGAATGGGGTTGCTGAGCGCCGCATCGGCTTGGTCATGGAGGTCGCCCGTACCTCCATGATCCATGCCGATGCCCCCCATTTTCTGTGGCCGTTCGCTGTTCGCTATGCCTCTCACCAGCTTAACCTATGGCCACGCTCCCAGCGGCCGCAGGTTTTGCCGACCCTCCTTTGGACCGGGTCCCCCGGTGACGCGTCTGCGTTCCACGTCTGGGGCTGCCTTGCTCACGTTCGTGCCTCTGGCATGGACAAGCTCACTGCCCGCACTGTCCCCTGTGTCTTCCTCGGTTTTCCCCTGGACTCGTCTGACTGGCTTTTCTACCACCCGCCGTCTCACCGCTTCCTCCACTCTCGTGATGTCACCTTTGACGAGTCTGTCTCCTTCTACCGCCGCTTTCCTCACCGAGGTCTCCCGGTTGCCCCGCCCCTGTTCCTCACTCCCTCTCCCCCGGTAGCCCCTGCTCCTCTCCCGCCGCGTCCTGCCCCGTCTGGTGTCTCTCACGTCACTCCCCTCCCGTCGGTTGTCCCAGTTGAGGATTCTGCTGACTCTGGTGGTTCCCCCGGTCTGTCCTTGCCGCGTCCCCCTTCCCCGGTGCCTCCGCCCCCACTGTCGCAGTCGCCGACCCCACTGCAGCCGTCGCCGCTGCAGTCGTCGCCGCCACTGCCGCGGTCGCCCGTGGCCCCTGGGGGTGCTGCTCTGGAGGCGGGTGTTTGTCCTGCGACTTCTGGGGGTGCCGCTGGTGTTGGAGAGGGTTCTCGCTCTTGGGGTGTTGGTTCTGGGGGTGCTGCTGTTGAGTGTCCTGCCGACGGTCGTTCTGCCTCTCCTGGTCCGAGCGTTCCGGCCCAGCCGTCGCCGCCGCCGCAGCCGCCGTCACCGCCGGCCTCCGCTCTCCACCTGCTCGGCCTTCTCTCCCCGGACCACTCGCCTGTGTCTCCCACGCCGCCTGCTGACCTTCCAGTCTACGGTCCTGTTTTCCCGCCGCCAGACTCGTCTCCGGCCCGTCTTCCTCCTCGTTCTCCTGTTGTGTCCCCTCCGCTGTCTCCTGACCCTACCCCTCAGTCCCACGTTTGGTCCCGCCGTCCCTTACGTGCCCGTCCCACCTCTCCTGTTCTGCGCTCTCACCCTATGTTGCTCCGTTACCACCCGTCTCGTCCTCCCCTCCTTCCCTCCCCTTCTCCCTCATCGCTTGCTGTTGCGCCTCCTCCGTTCTCGGACTACCTCCGTGCCGCTCGTCCTCTTGTCCCTCGGATTCTTGCCTCCCTTGTTACCGACCCTGCTGTTCCTGTCTCGCGCCTTGACGCGCTTGTCGCTGCTGTCGTTGACTTCGCCTCCACCCGCCGCCTTGACTACGCTACCGCTCTGGTCTCTGACCCTGCCCGTCCTCCGTCCGTCGGGGGTGCTCCTGCCCTTGGCAGTGACGTCCTAGAGGACAGGCAGTACGAGCTTGCTTTCCTTTCCGAGGCTGCTCCCCATCTCTGCTCCATGCTGTTAGTCCTTGAGGGTGACCCCGACGCCTTCGACATCCCGACCCCTCGCACCTACGCTGAGGCCACCTCGGGACCTTGGGCCTCTCAGTGGATAGCTGCCATGGAGTAGGAGATGGCATCTTGGAGGTCCACCGGCACCTACGTCGACGCAGTTCCCCCACCTGGGGTGAACGTAGTCGTTGGTCGGTGGCTCTTCAAGGTGAAGCGCCCGCCTGGAGAGCCGCCTGTCTTCAAGGCGCGCTACGTGGCCAGAGGCTTCAGTCAGCGCGAGGGGGTGGACTTCTTCCAGACCTTCGCCCCGACCCCGAAGATGACTACTCTTCGGGCGCTGCTATACGTAGCAGCACAGCGCGACTACGAGCTTCACTCCCTCGACTTCTCTACTGCTTTCCTTCAGGGCAGCCTACACGAGCAGGTCTACCTGCGCCGACCGCAGGGGTTCACTGGTACCTTCCCCCCTGGGACCGAGTGGCTTCTCAGGCGCCCGGTCTACGGCCTGCGTCAGGCTCCGCGCGACTGGCACGACACGCTGCGGGCCACGTTAGCAGACCTGCAGTTCTTTCCGTCGTCCGCTGACCCCTCGCTGTTTGTGCGTTCCGGCCAGACTCCGTTCTACATCCTTGTCTACGTAGACGACCTGGTCTTTGCTACTGCTGACAGGGACGCACTGGCCTCTGTGAAGGCCGAGCTGCTGAAGAGACACACCTGCACTGACCTTGGAGAGCTGCGTCGCTACCTTGGCTTGCAGATCTCTAGGGACAGAGCAGCACGCACCATCACTCTGACTCAGTCACACTTGGTGCGTCAGGTCCTTCAGAGGTTCGGTCTTCAGTTCTCCTCTGCACAGCCCACACCTCTACCTGTAGACCACGGGCTTCCGCTCCTATTCCTGAGGAGCCAGTAGAGCCCAGCGGCCCCTACGCAGAGCTTGTGGGTTGCCTCATGTACCTGATGACCTGCACTCGCCCAGATCTCGCATACCCTCTCAGCATCCTGGCTCGCTTTGTGGCCACTGGCAGACACCGACCACAGCACTGGTCGGCCGCTAAGAGGGTTTTGCGATATCTAGCAAGTACATCAGGCATGGGGTTAGTGTTAGGAGGACGCAGGCCAGTGGTCCTCACTGGGCACACAGACGCTTCTTGGGCAGACGACTCTGAGACGCTCAGGTCGTCGCAGGGCTACTGTTTTAGCCTTGGCTCGGCTGCTATCTCTTGGAGATCCACTTGCTCGTCGTCTGTTGCTCAGTCGAGCTGTGAGGCTGAGATCTACGCTGGTGCCATGGCGGCACTGGAGCTCCGCTGGCTGACCTTCTTGCTCACAGACTTAGGTGAGCGGCATAGCTCTGCCCCGGTCCTGTACGCTGACAACAGGGCCATGATACTCCTGTGTCAGGAGCCTCGACTTGAGGGTAGAGCGAAGCACATCCAGCTGCGGTACTTCCTCCTGCGCGAGCTACAGCAGCGCCGCCAGGCCCGCGTAGTCCACTTGGCCTCTGGTGCCAACACAGCTTATATCTTTACGAAGGCGCTTGCGCCTAAAGATCATCAGCGGCACTGTGTACAGCTCGGTCTAGTTCCTGTAGCCACTCACTTGCTAGTACTTTGACGTTGTACTGTCCTATATATATCTATATATATGTACTCAGACTGGACTTGTGTCCTCTCCCAGTGGCTGGACTAGTAGTGCCGCCCTGGTCTTGTTCTTGTCTTGTCTGTACCCCATTTTGACTGGTCCTTAGACCCTTGTCTCAGTGGCTGGACTAGTAGTGCCGCCCTGAGCTGCTTGTTTAGGATTTGCCTCTATGCAGTCTAGGGGGTGTGTCAAACATATGTATAACATATATTGGTATAGACTGTATAGGGTCACCTCGTAGAGGGTACAACACTCTTAGGTATATACCCTTGTTGTCTCTCTCTATTCAACACTTGTTCAATTTTAGTTTCTAACATGCGTGTGGTGTGTTGAGAAATAACTCTGGTGTGTGGGACTTGCCGGAAAAACTAGGTTGTTTAGGGGTGGAGGGGGGATGTATCTGGCAGTCGGGGCCTTAGCCGAAAAAAGCTTGGTTGTTGGGGGAGGAGGGGTGGGGGAAGTCGAGGAATGTCTCAGATCAGACGAAAAAATACGCGCTATCTGAATTCTCAGACGAAAGTCTACACCTGGTCTGAACTTTCAGACGAAACCTTATGGCTTATCTGAGCGATCAGACGAATTAATTTAGTCCGTAAAAAAATAAGACGAATGGAAAAAAACAGGTCTGATTTTCAGACCATCAGACCGATTTCGTCTGATATCTGAGTGAGACCCTTCTGCTTACGGTATTGAAGTCAACCAATCCATTCTTAGCAGATGAAGTAAGAAATATGTGCATTCCCCTGTACTATCGGGTTCATGCAGCTTACAAACTACAGCTCGTCATGTTCCACCACAGGCAAACGCGGAGCTTCCAATAATGAATCAGGTGAAAACTCTGTGACTTCCTCCGAGGTCAGGAAAGAAGAGCACCCCTCCTCGAGTCGATTGTACACTTCATAAAGCAGCTTCTTCTTAGCGATACGGTACTGTAGCACCAGCTCCCGTTCTGTTAGCGTTCGAACCACCTCCTCTGTGCAAAGTTCCTCCACACTTTCACCTGCGTCTTCTCCTTCCCCTTCTTCTCCTCCCTCTCCCCTTCCCACTCCATCTCCCTTCTCCACCCTATTTCCCTCGTCGCCATCAATCTTCCCATCAACCCACCAGCATTTTTCAAGTTGATTCAGGCGCCGCCGATCCTCATCGATAGACGTGGACCAGCTGGCCAGGACCTGCCGAACCTCCTCCCGAACCAGATCAGCTCCGGCAAGAAGGCTTGTGAGCTCGTGATCTGTCAGGCCGATGGATTTTGCCATGTCAGCACAAGTTCCACTGTACGCATGCCACCCAAACCAGACCGAGGCTTGGGCCAAACCAGAATAGTTAGGTTCTGAAAAGAAGCACAGGTGAATAGGAGGAGGGAGAGGGGCGGAGGGGGAGAGGAGGGGGGAGATAGCATGCATTTGACATTCGTGCACCATGTGCCAGACGTATATTGAATGCATGCTGGCCACATAGCTGTGATGCTGCATGAAAAATCGCATCACCTATGCGTTGAGAGCACAGGAAGCACAGCTTACTATCTCAAATGTAGAACACACAAGCAGCACCGACCACACCATTCCCACTAACATCACCACTCTTCCCCATAAGCAGCACCACACACCTTTCCCCTACCCAAACACATGCCACAGCAATGCCATCAACATACATGAGAAGTAGCATACGAAGCATGGCATTACATGCCTTTCTGGAACCCACATCAGAAGTACATACCTTCCCCATACCCACATCAGAAGCACATACCTTCCACATACCCACATCAGAAGCACATGCCTTCCCCATACCCACATCAAACGCACATGCCTTCCCCATACCCACATCAAACGCACATGCCTTCCCCATACCCACATCAAAGCACATGCCTTTCCCATACCCACATCAAACGCACATGCCTTCCCCATACCCACATCAAACGCACATGCCTTCCCCATACCCACATCAAACGCACATGCCTTTCCCATACCCACATCAAACGCACATGCCTTTCCCATACCCACATCAAACGCACATGCCTTCCCCATACCCACATCAAACGCACATGCCTTTCCCATACCCACATCAAACGCACATGCCTTCCCCATACCCACATCAAACGCACATGCCTTCCCCATACCCACATCAAAGCACATGCCCTCCCCAACCCAAACACGTGCCACAGTGACGCCAGGAACAAGAGCATTCTCGGGTCCACCTGCCCTCCTGCCCATACCACATGCGCACTCCCCTCCTCAAACACATCATCCCTGGGCCTTCCAACCACCCCCACACGCTGCAAAAGCAAGCAGTTCCGAAAAGCACACCATGCACCCATAAGGGGCACAAACATCCCCCATATATCCGTCTAAATGAAGCACATAAAGCACATACCTTCCCCAAACCCATATAAAACTCACGTACCTTCCCCATATCCAAACACGTGCCACAATGACGCCAGGAACAAGAGCATTCTCGGGTCGACCTGCCCTCCTGCCCACACTGCATGCGCGCTCCCCTCCTCGAACACATCTGTCTTCGGCCCCCCAATCACCCCCACTTCCTCCTCCGCCTTCTCCTTCGCCACCCTCACATCCTCGCTCGTCCTCCTCAAAAGGTACTCCGCCCAGAGGTCAAACATGCCCTTCCGTCCCTCCTTTATGGTCGCATTCGCGTAGTGCTTATAGTAGATGTTTGCGAGATCTGATTCTGAGGCGGTGAGGGGGAAGGAGTCGTGCGGGTTGGCGGGCGGCACAAAGCCGTACGCCTGAAGGAACAGGTCGGTGGTTTTTGTTCCATAGCTGTTGTACAGCTGGCTGCCAGCTGGCAGGGCGGCGTAGCTCCGAACGACAATGGTGTCGGTCTGCTCGTCCGTCTGTTGGAAACAGAAGTGGGTTGAACGTGGGGGGGGGAGGATGGCAGGGATCAAACAGAGAGAGGTGGAAAGGGAAGTGGAAGTGGGAAATGGGATTGGGCATAGCTGGGAGCGACAATCATGTCGCTCTGCTCGTCCGTCTGTTGTGGGAAAAGGGGTGGGTTGAAGGTGGGAGGGGAGGATGACGGAATGGGAGATGCACAGTCAGAAATGGGAGATAGCAGTAGCTCTGATCAGCAATGCCATCCATCTGACCATCCATGTGTTGTGGAGAAAAAAGGGGATGAGAAACCGGGGAGTGGGAGACGGGGGATGGGACATGGGGAGTGGTCACGGGGTATGGGAAATGGGCATGAGACATGGGGAATAGGGAGTAGGGGATGGGACATGGGTGGGAATATACGTGGAGTGTGATGGGACGAGCCAATTCATAGGCTCACCTGCAAGCCAATGTTGTTGTCGTTATGGTGGTGGTCAAAGTGTTCAGCCAGGGGGAAGAGCGCCTTCACATGCTGCGTCTCCCTGGCAGCATCGACACTAGATATACCTTGGCTGCGGCTATTGCCACTGCTGATACCGAACACAGTCTGTGAAGGCCCACCTGCCAGCCGATGTTGTTGGCGTCGTTGTGGTCAAACAGCTCAGCCAGGGGGAAGAGCGAAGTCACATACTGCGTGTCATTAGCAGCGGCACACTAGAACCGCCACTCCTGCTATTGCCTCTGCTGGTACCAGTAACCAGACACCTGCCTTGGATTCCCACCTGCCAGCCGATGTTGTTGGCGTCGTGGTGGTCAAACAGCTCAGCCAGGGGGAAGAGCGCCGTCACATACTGCGTTGCTGACCCCGTGGCCTGTCTCGCAACAGACACACCACATCCGTCAGCGCTGCTGCTGCTCTGACCATCAACGCTGCTGCTGCTGCTGCTGCTGCTGTCATTGTTGCTGCAGCTGCCGTTGCTTGCGCTGGCGCTGGCTGCTTTGCTGAACGCACGGGAGGATACGATCGCCATGGCCCACGCGAACTCCTCTTTTGTTGCATTCGCAATGGCTGCCTTGTCGCACTGCAAATACTCCGACTCAAAGGTTGAGCGGTAGGAAAAGCCTGGAATAGAGAAGTGGGTATCGGGGAGCAGAAGTGGGGGAGTGTGTTGCTGAATGCACGGAAGGACACAACGGCCATGGACCACGCGAACTCCTCCCTGGTGGCATTGGCGATGGCAGCCTTGTCGTACTGTTCGTACTCCGACTCAAAGGTTGAGCGGTAGGAGAAGGGGGGAAAGGGAAGGACAGCACAACACATGGTGGCCACACGAACTCAGGCAAAGGCGGCGGCAGCCCTGTCTATCACATCGCAATACTCCGACTCTAAGGTCGCTCAGTAGGAGAAGGCCTGGAGGTGCTCGGGTAGCGGGCATTGGGGAACAGAAGTAGGCGAGTGCTTTACTGAAGGCACGGGAGGACACTGATGAGAGGACCCAGGCGAACTCCTCCCTTGTGGCATTGGCGATGGGGGTTGGGAAGGCTTGGGTTTGGTGACAAGGAAGGGCATATGAGCCACGTTGCCTGACTTCTCGTACTCTGACTCTAAGGTTGTACAGTGGGACAGAGGGGAGGCCTGGGAAACGGGAATGATGAGTGCGCCATTTGCAGCAGCACCAGCAGCGTCAGCACCAGCAGCCTTGTTGCACAGCCCTTGCTCCAACGCATGGCAGGGTCCCTGCCCTTGCCCTAACGATGGTATTTGGCTACCTTAAGAGAGTGCTTGCCCTAAGTCCATTGCCACATGGCGCATGATAGACCACTCATCAGGGTCCCTGCCCTTGTCCCTTCCCACGCTGATCAGCCGCAAGACCAACGCACTCACATGTCTATCATGCTCTGCCCTCTCCCCACCTTCATCCCCCCCTGCGCCTAGTTGGACCAACCCACTCACATGGTCTATCATGCTCTGCCCTCTCCCCACCTTCATCCCCCCCCCTGCGCCTGGTTGGACCAACCCACTCACATGGTCAATCATGCTCTGGACCTCAAACTCCTGGATCAGATCATCGGGGAAGAACGCCGGGAGCGGCACATACTCAGGCAGCGAGCGCACAAACACCCCCACTGCGACCCCTCCCCGCTCTCCTCCTTCCTCCTCTCCCTCAGGATCCACGCAGCGAGGATTGAGAAGGCGGGCCAGCCGGCGAGAGGGGAGAGGTCGGGAGTGAGGGGTAGGGGTGGGCAGGTGATGGGCTGCTCGGGAGAGATGAAGGCGGAGGGGGGGAGGGAGAAGAGAGGCTCGCCTTCGACCAAGTCACGTGCTGCTACCACGGAGAGACCACGCCTGGGAAGAGGGGGAAATAAGAAGTGGGGAGAGAGGAGAAGGGATGAAATGGGCCATGAAAACGACCATTAGATGTGCTTGAAAGAAGCAGTAGATGTGCCTCATATGGAGCACATGATGGTACCATGGTATACAAAGCTGGGAAACAAATCCAAGATCATTTGCACCTAAAAGTTTCACAACAATGTGGCTTGATGACGATGGCTGATCTCATTGGTACCACAAACGGAATAGAATGACAGCCTTCGCACCTCCGTGCGAATCCCACCTTGTGCGTGATAGCCCGCGGTTGCCACGTGACCTTCCCACAACAATCTGACGAGCGACAACGAATGTGGGGAAGAGAAAGCAAGGGGGAGGAGTGGGTGTGGTTTGAGAGAGCATTGCCGCGCCGAAACTTCTCAGCGAAATGCAATTTTGGAGTGTAGTTTGAGAATTAACAGTACACAATCTAACAGAGTGCGTAAGAGTAGTCTGGATATACCTGTAACGGGGAATTCGGAGTCAGTCCTGTGACTCCTCGTTCCACCAGCCAGTCCATCATCTCAGAAGCAATGTGCTCCTCCGTCAGCGTTCCGTCCGAACTGACGGACTCTTGCCTAATTGACTCCGTTCCGTCAGCATTGGACTGGAGCGGAGAGATCAGCAGCAACGAAAGGAGAAGCTTCACGAAAAGCATGATCGTGAATCTGGCCTACCAGCTGTCGAAGCTACTTGAGACACAGATGCAAAAAAAATAGTATACGGTTCAGGATTACACCCGACAACCGGACCAGACGAAATAGGTCGTCCTATGGACAGAGCCGCCTTCAGCAGGCTGACTTGGTCCAGGAGCTGAAGTCACTGAAGTAACCAGTGAGGTGCTGCGGTCATCTGACAAATTCCAAGAGTGATCTGGACTTCGGAAGTCCAGTTCGACATCTCCAGGCGACGGGAGATCTCAGGAAAAGGTGATAGTGCCCTCTTATCGAGTACAAGTGCATGGGACAAGCAGGTCGCAAAATTTGAGTATTCATATGTTATAGTTACCATAGCAGTAAAGAGTGTAATGTTTCAAACAAAACTTGAGCAAACATGCAGTTATTAACCGTATAGTATAACTAATGCATTATGTGTACTTAAGGAATGTTCCGTTCCATAAATAAGCAGTGTATATATCAAGGACAATGATCACAGCAGCAGCTGTCCCTGTCGCATGCGCGCCTCCTCCCAAATCCGCTAGACACAACCGTGCCCCTTTCCCGATTGCAACCGCCGAGTCGCATACAAGGAAGCCGCAGCCAATCCAGCGAGTCTCGCACACATTTTTCCGCGTGAAGCTGGGCGAGAAAGGGCTCAGTTCACGGACGCAGGAGGTTGAGGAAGCAAGCCACCTCCGCCGCTCACCGTCGATTGTCATCGTTCACCGTTATCCCGCTCACCCTGGCACTGCTCACCGTCGATCGAACACCGACACCAGCAGGATTTGCAGTCGGGTTGATGAATCGAAGTCGAGCATTGGTTTCATAAGGAGGAGGCCATACCACAACTCACAGACACATCCGCCTACAAATCTGAAATTTCAGCAGGTCACTCATCACGCATATCAAACTACTACTCCATTCGCCCATTGCCCCGCTACCTTTCTTGACCTGCTCTGAGCTAGAAATCACTCTCCTGGAAGCGCTTAGTAGTATTTCCGAAGTCTCTGGTTTCTAGCGTTCTACCTCGTTTCACCGTCATGGCTCGTTCTCATATGCCCTTCTCTGTTCTGGCATTGGTTGTAACAGCTCTACTCGTCTCATGCGCGGAGTCTAGAATCCTCCCCAACGAACTGCTTGAAAATCGCATCCCAATTCGGCCGGCGAACGGGTCGATCAAGCTCAATGTCACGCTCAGCCTGAACAACAGCGTCTCTGACCTCAAATCCGCGTTACAAGCGCAGGTCGTTTCGCTAGAAGGCGCGCTGGAAAATCGCTCAACAAGCTCGCAACCGCATTGAACGATAGCGCATTCACGGCGACATCCGCGCTTCAAGCGCAAGTCTCCGCCCTTCAAAGCAGCATCGCGCGTTACAGGAACGCATAGCAAGCCTCGGCTTGTCACCTCCGTTACAATCACGGCTCTAGCACTTCCCAGGTCACACGGCCGCCATTTCCGCTCTCCAGTCGCGGATCTCGTCGCTCAGAGCCAGCATCCCCTCTATTAGCAAACGCGCTACATCTCTCAACACCGACCTGGGAAGCATCCTCGCCAACCTGCGCGCGTTGCTGAGTCAGAGAATCGCGGCGCTGACTCAGAGGGTCGGTGCGTTGAATCTGGACGTGTCGGCGCTCGCTGCTCAAGTCGACGCGCTCCTCCCGCTGAGTGACGCCCTTGGCGTGACGGACCTCGTGGCCCTGCTGCCGCAGCAAGCAGGTTAGTTCCACAAACCCTAAAACCGCATATTGAAACCCTCAGATTAAACCCTAGAGTCGCGACACTCCATTTTGAAACTCTCTTTTTAATGGCCTCAGTCGTAGCAGCTGTGCTTTGCCTTGCGCGTGCTTATCTATTTTGTGCCACCCTAGGTTATTCACCTTGTTCTGCCGCTGTCCTTGACTCCCCATCACTGCAGGCATGCTCCGTGGCGTTATGACTTCATGCGAGGGCCTTGTGCAGGCAGGGGCAGCCAACATCCAGATCACGAAAATGTAAGTCACATCTTCATAACTTTCTGTGGACCTTGGAACCGTGAACCTTCTGCGTTTGCTACCAAGTTTCCCTTTGAGCCTTGCATTCTGTTATTTCTGTTTGCATCACATTCGGTTTCATATTTGGGTAGACTTGACATACCGGTTTTTCATTTCAGAATCTTACTTTCGTGGCCCTCTTCCGTGTCCAACTTTCCCTCCCCGCAGTGGCTCGTCGTACACCCTAGCTACTACCTCGTTGCCACAGGCATCACGGAGGCACCTCAGGCACAGGCCATCTACCGCGGCAGCCCCTGCAGCGGCGGGGCCAGCTCGTCCCTGCAACTCACCGGCACATGGCAGCTCGTGAGCTCTGTCTCGTGGTCGCTGGTGAATGTCGTGACTGTGGCGGAGGGGAATGTTGCGGATCTGCTCAGCACCATCCAGCTTACTTCTAATGGAGACCTGTATATAGGATTCATGGGCAGCAGCAGCAGCTTGTCAGGGAAGCTGATTGGTGGGAAATTCTGAGGAAAGAGAAACGTGATACAGGAGAGGGTGACAGATGCAGAAGGGACATCACGTATGCACAAATGATGCATGTGATATAACTGTTTGTGCATTTGTGATGTTTCATCTCACTCACTTGTATAGCAAAGCATTGTGCAAGAATTGTATGGGTTATTGCATCCAATGAAGTGTTGCTTCCGAGAACAATTGCCAATCATTGATCAATACGTCGTTCTAGATGTTTTAGTTTCTATTTGCACAATAGTAGTACAACGGTAAGAATTAATCTAACGTCTGCTCTTTCTGGAAGTGGGAGGACTGGATCGACTGCAGCGCGTACATTGAGAAGAGAGTGACCACAAAGCAAATTGGCTGATCAGGGGAACGACTAAGTCAGCTGGTGGCTGGTACAATCTCTGCGGTTGAGTAAGGTGTCAGACGATTGGAGGCAGTTTTCTCGCTTCATCGCTTTTGACTTTTGAGGCACCCAATCCCACTGTAGAAAGCGTACTGGGGATGTTCTCTGAGGTGGCTATTACGACATATTTTCAGAAGCAAGGCTAAATAACTTGAAGGCTTTCCATTGCGCTGGATTACCCTTTCCACGCAATGCGGTTCCTTCTTACGAGTCCTTAGAACAGGCGGTTCTTGCCTCCCGTGGCGTAGGAGATTAGGGTATCGAACCTAGTGCATTACAGTATCCTAAGGCGTCGAGTAGCGACAGGTGGTTCTCGCCGTCTTGATTTCCCATGGCGAATCGGACAGATCCAAGGGCGCGAACGGTTCACGGCACCAACCCGCAGAATTTAGTGGAGAAGATTCTTCGCGCCAAGATCTATCAGAACATCTACTGGAAGGAACAATGCTTCGGCCTCACAGGTGCGTGCTGTGGCATCAACGGTTACATTCGATCAGTGATCGTTGAACCGTACTGGGAAGATTTATCGTAACGTCGATTGGAACGAGTTATGTATCGGCCTCACAGGTTCGTTATGCAGCCGTCGCTCATGCCCTGACCCATAAGGCTCCGACATGTGTCTGCCGATTACAACAATTGATTGTTGATCGTTGTTAGTCCGGCTTACGATTCCGTCGAGGTTCAGCAGCCAAATTGCATAAGCTGTTTACGATTTCATCCTCCTCTCTAATCGGATCGGCTTCAGTTTCCAGCCTTGTGGTTCTCCACTGATTCGTTTTGTCTGCTTTCGAATTTACATATTTATTTTGCTTCCCTGACTTCGGTTGCGTTTTCCGTCCCATTTTCGTAATCGTCTCGTCCGTTTTTTGCAGCTGAAACCCTGGTCGATAAAGCTATGGAACCAGGCGATTGCTTAAGAAATCTCTTCCGTGGTGTCCGTCGCTTTCTTGTTCTAATTTATTCCTGTCTTCCCCCTTTCCTTCCCCTTTGCTGCAGCTGAAACCCTGGTCGATAAGGCTATGGATCTGGACCATTTCGGAGGAACGTTCGGAGGAAATCGCAAACCTACCCCTTTCATGTGTCTGATTCTCAAGATGCTACAGATTCAACCGGAGAAGGAGATTGTGGTTGAGTTCATAAAAAACTCCGATTACAAGTGAGTGTATATTCTATCGTGGCTGTTTCTCAATGTCTTATAAATTTAACTTGAGAAGGAGATCGTGGATTCGTGGCTCAACTTCGACTACATGTAGCCCTTGGGTTGAACAGATTTCCATTTCAGTTAGCAATCTGGAAAACCGCAACCTATCCTTCCCCCAAACCACCCCCCCCCCCCTTTCCTCCTCCCCCTCTTCGGCCGTTCGCCTATTACCTCAGGTATGTGCGGCTGCTGGGGCGTTCTACCTGCGGCTGTTAGGGAAGCCTATGGATGTGTACTCGTACCTGGAGCCACTTAGACACACGCTTCCCCGTCCAACCAACCTTCAGTGTCTCCCTGCCCTTCCTTCTCTTCCATCCCCCCTACTTGCTGTCCACCCCCCTGTGACGTCAGGTACGTGCGGCTGCTCGGGGCGTTCTACCTGCGGCTGGTGGGGAAGCCCATGGATGTGTACCAGTACTTGGAGCCGCTGTACAACGACTACCGGAAAGTGCGGCGGAAACTGGACAGTGGAAGTACGTTATTTGGACATGCAAAAGATTCCTTGAGTTGTATATTGTTTTTGTAGGTGGCTGAGGGTTTTGTACCTGCGCTAGCTTGGAAGTTTATGAACGTCTCTAGTTTTCTTTATTTAACTCTGCATCCCTGTCCCTGCCAGGGCTGGTGTTGTTACCTGTGGTAGCGATGTTGATTCAACCTCCCCCCTCCCTCTCCTCCCCCTCACTCTCTACCTTGTGCTTCCAGGCTATGTGTTGTCACATGTGGACGAGTTCATGAGGAGCTTCTCACACTCGACTCCAGTTGCGACATTGCGTTGCCTCGCATACCTCGAAGGTAAGACATGCTCTTGATCGTAGCCTTTCTTCCTCCTTTTCTCGGTTATACATGTATGTTTAAATCCATGGATATTATATATGTATATTGGATTCGCTGCAGTTGTTTCACCTCCTGGTGTCTGTTACATATTCGTATCCGCCCTTTCTTCAGGTGGACGTTGGAAGCAGCAGGGCAGTTGGAGCTGAGGAAGAGTGGTCTGGATTACGACGAGATGGAGGAGGAAGAGGAAGAAGAGGAGGAGGAGCGGGAACCTGTTCCTGATAAGGTATGCGCCGGTCCTGATTTCTTGCCGCGTGGATTAGTTAGTGTGCTCAATCAAGTATGCATCCCATTCTGTTCGTTTTCCCTCTTCCCCTTTTTTCAAACCTTATTCTTTCACATTCCCATCCTTTTTCTACGTACACGTTTTCCAGGCCGAGGAGAAAGAGCGGTATCGGGACAGAGACGGGGAGAGAGACAGGGACAGGGACAAAGAAAGGGATAGGGATAAGGACAGAGACAGAGACTTGGACAGGGACAGGGACAGAGATCGGGACAGGGACCGGGAGCGAGACAGGGACAAGGATCGCGCTACTATTCCAGGTACGTGATGCTGTGTTCGTGTTTCCTGGTGTGCTCTTTGCTTAGTTGTGTCAGTCCGGGTATGTGGTGATGTGTTGTCTTTTGCTGTTTTGATTGGGAGAACGACCAGCTGCACATCTTCTGGGAAGCTTCTCATTGGGAAGCTTCCTGAAGCATACTGCAGCTGGGCTTGCAGGGCGGCAGGAGCTCATCTTTTTTTTGGGCAGTCCTTCAGTGGCTTTTTGCCTCTGCAAGGTTGCCTTTTTCAGATGGCCAACTTTCTCTTGTCCCCTCGTTCGTGCATGGATGAGGGTTGCCTTGGTGTCAACGTTCTCCCAAGAGTGAACTTGTGTTTGTACCCCTTTATGGAGTTCTTTGGAGCTCCCTTGGTGTGCAATCATGGGTCTCAGCGCTTCCAGGTTTCCCAGTGCTGGCAGTGCTCTGAGAGAAGTATAAAGTGCTGGACATTGTGAAGTTTCTTCCTGTTTGGAGATGGAAACTCTGTTAAGGTGTCTCAGGTCGGGTCTTCTTCTGTGTTGTGTTTCTCCACGTCAGTATTGTTCTCTTTTTCTTTGCCTCTTTCTCGTTTTTTTTTTTTCAGGGACCGGGATCGAGACAGGGACAGAGACAGAGGCAGGGATCGAGACAGAGACAGAGACAGGGACAGGGGCAGGGACAGGGATAGGGATAGAGATAGGGAGGGACAGAGACACGGACAGAGATTGGGCAAGAGACAGGGGAAGGGAGCGAGACAGAGACAGGGACAGGGGTAGAGACAGGAGCAGGGAAAGAGATAGGGGTAAGGACAGGGAGAGGGACAGGGATAGGGATAGGGAGCGGGATAGAGACAGGGACAGAGATGAGAGAGAGGGGGACTATGATGGGGAAAGGAACAGAGATGGTGATTCGAGGAAGCGTGATCGAAGGGATGAGATGGCTGATGAGAACAGGTGAGTTTGGAGTTCATGTGGTCGACACTTCACTGGTAAACCACTTGCACAAGTACCTATCTTTCGT